TCTGGTAGACATTCTTTTAAAAACTGTGTTATTATTGGATTTCAAAAAGAATCGTTTGCTGATGAGTTTTGAAATTCGATTACACATGATAAAAATGTGATAAATTAACATTCTAATATTTTGGAGGAGAAGAATAGAAAATTAGTTCAGACAACACATTTTAGGTACGACATATATTGGTACTTTTTCAGTGCATGGTTAAAATACTGTGTCACAAATACAGCGAAAATAATCAACTCAATCAAGACTCACGAGAGTCTTAACAATTTTTTTTCAGGGTGGACAGATGAAATTTCATTCAGTTTTTTCTGCATATAATACAGTACAGTACTCTCAGAATCTCCGCTCGCCTCTTCAACGTCTTCCACCTCAAACTGTCAGAGCTGTCAGGCTCAGATATATAGACTGACATTCATCACAAGTTACCTCGTGCTCACAAATGGTCAAAAGTCGTTATTACGTCTACCGCATGGGTGGGCCTTTTTGAATGGCTGCTCAATTCCTCGTATCAACCCTCCACCTTCGACATGATCAGCCTCAACCCCACACTTGTTGTTCAGTCTGCTTCTCTGTCAACATCCATATCCAAGAGGTTGAGGCTCTTGACTCCAGGGAGTTCATGGGAGGGATGAGGACAGGAGAGATGTGGAATCAGGGCCGTGGTTAATGGGCCATATCAAGACCACAGAACGCACGCACACGTGCGCGCGACAGCATGAAAGTGTTCAACTGTGCCACGGTATGATCAACAGACAAAGGAGAGAAGTCTATTGAAAAATCATATAAGTACCTTTTGCAGCAGCTGGGATCCAGAATATTTGGCAGAAATGGATTTAATCTCTCCACCAAAAGCTGATGCCCACAGTTTTACGCTGACAGAAAGAAGACAAAACGTAAGCAAAATAGGAAACAAAAGCATCTGGGAAACAGAACAGAAAATTACATTTGTAGTTGACATTTTTTGCATGTCTCCCCCCCACCCTCACCGCCACCACCACAAAAAAAAATAAATAAAATAAAAAAACACCACCCACTCGCATCACCAACCCTTGCACGAAAATAATCAGGTGACGGCACATGCCCCAACCTTCAACTTGCTTAACACATACACTCCACAAGTAATGATGATGCTAAATATATCTTCACATAATTGGGAACACGACTGCGTGTGCTGCAGTGCGAACTTTCACTTTTGATAAATTGCTGACAGTTAGAAAAAAATCTGCTGTCACGATTTCATGCATTCGCGAATGTTCATCAGAAATAAGATTAAATACACAACAATTACTTGTTAGAAAATATAACAAATATTATTTTTAGTGACTATATTTTTCGCAACCACCCCTCCACAAAAAAATCGTTTAACTTCACGTATACTTTTTATTTTTATTGTTATTATTAAGCTATTATAATTGTTATATACCGGTATTTACTTTTGTACGCCATTCTCAAAGGAGGAAAACTGAAGTTTATTTTTTTAACTCACTCCATAAAGTTTTTACTATGACACGAGTGATTTCAAATAATTAAGATCCTCATCCGACATTATTTTCTTAGAATAAATTGACTTAAAAAATAAATAAAATAACCTCCTTGATTGAGAAAAAATCGTCAAAACGAAATTCTTAAATGTTTCCACAATTGCGTTTCGTTTTAACGGGAAAAAATTGCATTCATCTTCATGCTCTTTTTGTCCGTGTACAATTTAAATGACCAGCGAAAAAAGAAAACAATAACAATTCTAAATTTTTAATAATATTCATAAGTGAGGAAAAGCAACGTAAATAAAAGCAACCATTTTCCCATCATGCGTCCTTTTATTTCATGCGTGCGTTCTTTAATTTCTCGTAGTACTTCAAAATTCTTCGACATTCAGAGAAACTGCTTATTAAACAATTTCCTCAACAACATCTCGGTTTCACTATTTAATCTACCAACAAATTCGGCCTGGCCGCGCTGTTAAAAATACTATTCAACATCACGTGACCAGTTGCATGCTCGGAAAATCCTTCCACAACATGTACAGTATATTGTGATTTTTTTTTTCTGACGTACACCTCTCCCGCCAAAATCGCTTGTCACTCACACTGACAGAGGGATCCCCTGCTGGGACGCCGCCACCTCCAGTAGTAGCACGCTGAAGCCCGCCAGCATGCACAGCGGCAGGCTGACTATGCTGTATGTGCGCCGAAGAAGCATCATGTTCGGCCACAAAAGTGATCCCGGAACCGGTGGTGGGGTCTGGACCTGCACCCCGGTGAGCCGTTGTCTTCTTCTTCCTGGGCTGCCGTTGTCCTTCTGTGACAGCAGACCTCCTCCTCTTCGCCATTCCCCATCATGGAGGAGGGTGAATGGGGGTGGGGGGGAGAGAGAGAGAGAGAGAGAGAGAGAGAGAGAGAGAGAGAGAGAGAGAGAGAGAGAGCGAAGTGTATTTTTACACTAAAAGACTTCCTGCGAACTAGTGTTTTGCATATTTTATTCAGCATTTTAAAGATAATTATTGTACATATTATTAGGGCAGTATTTTAGCACATCCACCCCCCCCCGGCATATTAACACATGCCAAATACATGCATGTTAGGTTCATTGAAGACTCTCAATTGATGGTTCTCAAACTTTTTTCTTTTTTTTTCGAAGCTCTCCACCTGCCACCATAATTACCAACGTTAAAATAACTTAATAGGTGTGAGTGTTCATCAAAAAGATGGAGGTTTTGCTCCTAAAAATATATAAAATGGCAAATTGCATGCCAATATGGAGCCCCATATACTGTGCAAGCACTGGTACGATAGGGAAAGCGCCTTAACCTGAAGCGGAGGCTTAAGATTTGTTTGAATGAGAGTGCTATTTAACATAGAGGGTCTAAGAGCATTAGTATGCACAATGTCATGCGAGACAAAATCACCGGCGTGCAAAATCATTTCGGCATCATGCAGTTCAAGCCAGGGGGCCAGCTGATTTTTATGCAGCAGGCGTGGAATTGATTCCCCCTCATTGGCCCATTCACAATCACTCAATAAAGAGTCTAGTTTGCCCATGGGATGTACTTGAAAGTTCATGCTGACAGGTTCTTTGAAAAGGGGAAAAAAATGAAGGTATTTGCTTGGTTAATGTAATTATTTAATAACTATTTTTTAAAAGTTATAAATGCAAACTAGAAAATACTTTCCAGAAAAAAAAAATGTAATTATTTAATAACTATTTTTTAAAAGTTATTAATGCGAATAATTCGAAAATACTTTCCAGAAAAAAAACCATTTTGTGTTCTTATCATTAGTATATTAATATTAATAGAATTATTATTATGGGTGTAGGAATTAGCACCAGATGTGACCCTGAATAGAAATAGAGAAGATGGAACGGATGGAAACATGGAGGCTTAATGCTGTTCTTGTTGACTGATTTCTCTTGCTTTGAAAATCAGTGATTTAAAAAAAGAGTGTCCTATTATCTATGGGAGAGTTGGAAGAACTGGATTGCACAAACTGAAGTGCACCGTCATGAAGGTTTCTCAGAGAAGCTTCATAGTACAGTATAACATGATGACAATGAGGTTGCAGATTGTTAAGTGTCTCTGTGACCCCGCCGCCAAAAATAAAAAAATCCACTAATGTCCGTTATGCATATCTTCACTCACTCGAAGAATGAGCTACGCAAGTCGTTCATGTAAACTTGCGCATATTCCCGATCATGAATAATGCCCAATTTTTGGACACCTGACCAGTGACCCCAAGCACCAGCGGCACCACCATCACAAGCAGCCGTGTTTCAACCTGAAGCTTTTATTAGTTGGGTAATTGCGTCGTACATCAAAGTTGTGAGGAGCCCCGAACTGTCTGGAATGTGGCGATAAGGCCCTTAGATCGTTGTGACCTCACAATGCTGACTGCTCGGATGCTTTAATTAAGTGTCCAATAAAGCAGTTCTGTGCCATGAAAGTGAGGGGAGTCCTTAACTCAGACCTGCCGAAGTGTCCTTGAGCAAGTCCTTTTTCAGTCTTACAATCCATTGTAGCAGCTCATACAAAAAGTGACACAACAGGGCAATTTGTTTAGAACGGTCCGCCAAATGAAACAGAAGTATTATAATGGCTGAATTAAATTGCTTTGGGTGCTACATCTCATTAAGTCCTGAGTAAAGTGCTCAGTGCTATGATTTATACGTGTAAACACGACAGTGAATGTTATATGGTCAATGAGAATCAAAGGTGTCGTCATGATTTAACAGCGCGCATCACCGGGACATGAACTCTCAACCCAAACAGTTGTAATCTCCGTCTTGACTTGATTGGACCTAAACCTCTTAGAAGGTTAAACATGGGCCACCTCTGGTCGTGTTAAATCCTGAGGGCTTAACATCACCCTTTCACAATGGAGACGAGGCGAGGGTGGCGAGTTTATACACAGTAGACCACCACCAGAATAGAATAGAAAGCCTTGGTATCCTCATCCAAAAAATAGGGATGCAGCTCCAAGTTTGTGGTTAGAAACAAAACACTCATCATGATTAAACACTTTGCTAACACATGCAAAAATGCAGTGACCAAATTGCAGCGAGTGAAGAAATGTGAACAGGCAGCAGAGGATTCAGGGTATTAAAAAAAACAACAAAAAAACAAAACCGTAAGCACAGCAGATGCTGTCAAAGACATGTAACTACGAAAGTTAATATGTCATAGTTTGGGCTCAGTTCATGTAACGCATCGTGTGTATAAAAAAAAAAAAAAAAAAAAAAATTACCGTAATAATAAATCCACTCCTCAGTGTTTGTGTCAAAAAGGAGAGTTTGGATAGCGAACAACAGGGTTCTAGGAGTGATCCCTGTGGAATTTTATACATTGTGATCCCTATATCTTATAATTACTGATAACATTAGTTAATACAGTGGTGCTTTGAGAGACAAGTGACCAGACTTCAAGAGTCAAATTGTTGTTTGACTGATTTTCTTTTTTTTTTTTTTGCTTTGTCACTATCCATTTTTATGTGTTTTCAAAATTTATATTCCTTGGCTACTAACACAGCTTGAGACATTTTTATTATTATTTTTTACTTGTTTTGAGCTGACTAAGGTCAAGCCTCTCCTTTATCAACTGCACTTAGAAACAGTAATCCATGTCTTTGTTACATCTCCAATGGATTACTGTCACGCAGTGTATTTTGGAGTAAGCCAGTCCTCCCACAAGCGTATCCAGTTGGTCCAAAATTCTGCGGCTTGCCTCCTAACTCGTGCTCAATTTATATTTATATACAGCAATTTGTTACAGCTGTACAGGTAGTTGTTCTTCAAGTGCTTTGTACTGTATTTACAATGGAGTTGAGTTGAGTTAACTCAAGTGCTGTGGCCTTTTCACACCTGCTTAATGTGACTTCTATCCTTTGTGAGTACAAATCAAGCAAAAGGTGAGGGTTCACGGATGATCATTTGGGAGGGGGGGTTAATCCTTTGTTAAATCCAGTTCCTGAGGATTTACTCTGACTCAAGGCATGTAATCTTAGCACTCTCTCACTTAGGCTCAGATATTGAACATCAAGCGGCGAGAGGACCTCGCCGTTGAAAGCTCTGCATCCATGCACCACTCGTTTTTTACTCTCAATTCCTCCCTCTACATGGGCCCGCCGCACGGGGAGCCTCCGCTGTCACGCACGGGCTTCGTCGCGCTCTCTGTGGTGATGGCCCTTTTCACCGGGCCGGCCATCGTTCTCAACGCTACAGTGATTATTGTGTCCCTCATGCACAAGCAGCTGAGGCAACCGCTCAACTACGCTCTGGTGAACATGGCTGCGGCAGACCTGGGCACAGCCATGACCGGGGGGGTTCTGTCTGTCGTCAACAACGCCCAGGGGTACTTCTCCCTGGGAAGAACAGGCTGCGTGATGGAGGGCTTTGCAGTGTCCTTGTTTGGTGAGTGAACACAGTAACATGAGCGGCTTTTAAAACACTGCAAGTTATCACATCTTACTTTTCCAGGCATCACATCATTGTGTACGGTCGCCTTGATCGCTGTGGAGAGGATGTTTGTCATATGTAAACCTTTGGGGCACATGACCTTCCAAAAGAAGCACGCATGTGGGGGCATCGCCTTGTCCTGGTTGTGGTCCCTAACGTGGAATATACCCCCGCTTTTGGGCTGGGGCAGGTACGAGCTGGAAGGCGTCGGGACGTCCTGCGCGCCGGACTGGCACAGTCGAGAACCTCACCATGTGTCCTACATCCTGGTTTATTTCGCCGTGTGCTTTGCGCTTCCTTTCGCCATCATCCTGATATCCTACACTAAATTAATGTGGACGTTGCATCAGGTGGGCTTTTACACAACTAGGCGTGGTAATGCCAAAAAAATGAAAGGACATATAGTCTCTTACACTGACCACAAAGGGTGGGGAATTTCCATCTCTTTACAACATTAAATGTAACCGTTTTGTACATTTTATCGCAAATTTATTCCTGTATTTATGAAAGACAAGCAAACCACTATTTGGTCATGGGCATTCAATCAGTTAGTTTGTCAGTAGGACCTTCGCTTTAATATTAACAAACGTCAGAGGACATAACAGCTAGCTTCTCCCATTCCAATTCAAATAGAGATAAGAGGTGTCACCTCTGAAATGTTTCCTAGTTAGATTAAAAAAAAAACTTCAGCTAACTCCTAGCTGACAACATAATTAGCGAGCTGAAATTAAATTCAGCAACAATGAGAACTGGTGGTGATGATACAGTGTTTGTAAGGCACTATGTGGTCGAAGGTAAATTCCACACATGTAAGCCTCAGGTACCCACAGATACCTAACTTTGTTACTAAATTCATTGTTACTAAATTTCTCAGTGTTCCTATTACGCCTACTAATGAGCGATTTTTTTTTTACTTCGTCGTTTCAAACACAATGCAATTATATATTTTGTCTTTAGTAACAAACACTACGAAGCGCAAACAAAAACCTTACATGACTTTTCTCGATACTCCTTTTCCCACCTTACCTACGCCAGGTATCAAAGTTGACCTGCGTGGAAGACGGTGCAGTGGCTAAAGCAGAGCTGAGAGTGGCGTCCATGGTCATCATCATGGTTCTGACCTTCTTGATAAGTTGGATGCCTTATGCTGGCCTGTCCATGCTGGTGGTGTACAACCCGCATGTGGTGATTAACCCACTGGTAGCAACGGTGCCTGTTTACTTGGCCAAGAGCAGCACAGTATACAATCCCATCATCTACATCTACTGCAACAAACAGGTGAAGAAAAACAGGCACTCTACTAATTGATTCACAGTTCAGTTTATACTCAGAACCGAGAGGGAAAAGGAAAATCCATGAGCTACTCAATGGTGCCATCTAGTGGTCAATAAGTGACGAGCGTAAAACCTTGTGTGATATTGCAAAAATAAATGTACTTCATTGGATATTAACACACAGTAAAAACTACGCAGCAAACAATTTGCTTACTTTGTTGTGCTAACATAGTTGCCATAAATGTGAATAATTCATATTCTAAAGCTGTTCTACCTCCAATTACTGTTTCAGCCCCCCCCCCCCAAAAAAATACAAGTTGTGTTTTTTACAGTGTGTAAACATCCAACTCATTACCATAAACGTAAATCTTATGACACCTTCTTGTTGATTTTAGTTCCGTAGGTATGCAGTGCCTTTCCTGCTGTGTGGTAAGGAGCCGTGGCTGGCTGAAGAGGCATCGGAGGCGGCCACCATGGTGGAGATGACAACCAACAAAGTGTCTCCAGCCTGAAAGCTCCAAAGGGCCTACAATAATCATTCAACAAGCGCTTGCCTGACACCAATACCTCTGTAATTCTGTCAAACATGTGAAGCATGTATACAAAGATTTCCAGAATTGTGTGCATTGTTTAAATTACAGTACTGATGGTGGAGTCAAGCATTTCTTGAAAACCAGGAAAAAAAGAACCATAATTCAGCATAAGTTTATTCAATGATGCTCAATAAAAAAGAAATAACTTAATTGATTGAAATAAAGACAAGGCCCAAATCAAATGAAAAATGCATTGTTATGAAACCCAATGTTATATATTAAAGCATTTGCTACTAAGAGATTGATGCCAACCAAAAAGAAACATTGAAGAGCAAATATCAAGACTTTCAAGTAGAGAACATTACCATGGGTCTTTCCAATAATTTGTACATATTTTACATCTCCTATTTGAATACAGATTTAAGAACATTAATAAAAGTAATTCTATATATAACCATGTGAAGAAAAGTGATAGAAACAGCACGTTTCTCTGTAAACTGGTAATTTAATCCATTGTTTTGTTCACCCAGCAGAGCAACGACGCACCTTAAAAATATTCTTTTGACTCTCTTTCATTCCCAGCATTGTAAGATGAGGTGTGAATGACAAATATAGATTCCACTAAACCATACACAGAGTCACCAAAAAGTACAAAATTGTCTCACCTTAATACACAAATCAGTTTTAGAAAAAGGAGAAACAGAAGCACAATACACTTACGTGTGTAGAGACAAACAGCTATGTGCTAATACTTAAGACTCAACCAAGTTACTATTTACTCTTTTTTTCAGGAATCCCTGACTTGAGGTAAAAGTAAATTCTTTTCATCTTTAGATTAACTCAATGCTTAAAAGTGTTTACAAAATAATGCATATTTTCAGTTCATCAATTGCTACGAATAGGACAATGTGCCAGTTATGTGCATTCCTTTTGTCAGCTGCAAAAGGACGAGAACACATTTATCGTTGTTTTTTTTTTTTTTTTTTTAAACGCACAAACATTTCAAAGAGCCCTTTCAATGTGCACACATCATGGAAAATCTACATTGTCATGACGGTTAAAGTAGCAGACAGAGCACGCACACGCCGACGGAACCAAACACGTACAACAGATCACACGAACCCTAAATGTTCTTGACGCTTAGTTAAACTCGTCATGGCAAAGCCTACTTTAGTTAGCACTGCATCCTGTAATGAAAGTTCACTTGTGTTCATTGTCCATCCAGTTTTGGCCTCTTGCCACGTTGCACGCACATCCACCGTTAACCCTGTTTTAAGACTCCCCAGTGGGACACATTGATACATTGAGACGATGATATGTTGTCACCTTTGCCAAACGAGGTATACTCGACGCCAGGTAGGCAGGGAGGGGGGGGGGAGGGTGTGAGGAAGGGGTGGGGGTCTCTTTTAGTATTGCTTCGCCTCTCAACAGATCACTTCCCAGCCACTTCACCGACTCCTGCCACCAAAGTGGATGCAGCCCTCACACACTCAAGATGAAATTTCACAGAAAGTCTTAAAAGGACCCATCAATCATTCACAAAACCCCCAGCACCAGCTTTGATGGAAAATCATTAAGACCTCCATTATTTTAGCTCTACCATCCATCTTTTTGTCTTCTTTCAGCAGCAAAAAGGCATTTTAATCGGGAGCAACCCTACTAAGGTTTTGAAGAGCAAAGAATAAAAGCAGCATCGATTTCATTAAAAATAAAGACGCAAACAAATGCATTGGCTGCATCTGTTTAGCATGCCAGCACGGGGGATCACGGGGCTCGCCATTTAAAAAAGGCTTTTCACTTTAAACCATACAATGACGACCTCTCTTGTGCAAAGAAGTCAAAACTGCTTGACTTGTGCAGTTAATGTTGCTCACAAAAGCAGAACCTCTTGAAACCGCGACCGCAGGCAAAAAAATAAATTAAAAAAAAAAAAAAAAGTAAAATAAAGGCTGTGTATTAACACAGAACATAAAAGACAAAACAAATGCAGCAAATGGTACATAATCAATGGTGGTCTGATTTTATCGCACATCAGAATGGTCCATATTGCTGATCATTGAAATCATACATAATTACAAAATATAGAATATCTCTTTACAAAGTGTCACGTATTTTATAATACAATTTACAGCACCTCAGCTAGGAAATATTAACCAGGCTATTCTACAATTTCAAATAACCTGCCTACTAGTGCATTTCTCGCAAATGCTTTTTAGTCGCTTCAAAAAGGTTAAACACGTTAGTTCCTGCATAATTCTGTTTGTCGCAACGCTTTGCTGTGTGACTCGGCTGCAGCACGACTACTGTTAGTATCACGGGACAAAGGGATCAAATCAGACTCAAAGGGGGCTGGGGGTCTGGGGGAGGAGATATGCCTTTCTATGCTTGCATTGAAAACTTGCATGATATGCCAAACCTTTAATAAAGTGACTGAGGTAATGACATCGTTCATCTGATTGTCATCACCCGAACACACCAGCTCGAAAGAGCATGGCACGTCCGCGCCACTTATCCTGGATGGTCTCTGCCCGGACCCCCAGCTCAAGCCCTTTGACAGGAAGGAAGGTCAAGATGGCCCCTCGGTGCTCCGCAGGGCTCTGTACTGTGACGTTCTTTGCTGGCAGGGAGAGAAGTTTCCTTTCAAAAAGCTCGGGACTCGTGTGTGTCGCTCTTCTCTATGCCTTTCTCTTCAGACTGAAGGCACTTCTTTTGGTCAGAGCCTATGAATACAATTAGTCTTGTATTTTCACTGATAATAGTCTGCCAAGGGTCCTTTTCTGCTATAAAGTTGTGATGCAAATCATCTCGTCGGCCAGGTCCTCTTCATAGGGAGCTCTGGGTTCCGTCTCGGGTTCGTCGTCGCTGTAACTGGCAACCGGGTCCTGCAGGTCGAAGCCCCCCGCGGTCAGAAGAGGGAACACGTTGACCCCGTTGATAACGGGCGCCATGCCGCCATTCAGCAAGTGGCTGGCCGCGCTTTCCATCTCATCGATCGTCATCTCGCAGGCGTCCGCTATCTCGTGCTTGGTGGCGGCAACAAACTTGGGATCCTTGGCGTACCTCCCGAGGCCCTCTGATATTAAAACCTGCACGTACAACAAAGTCAGGAAAAGAAAAGTTGTTTTGCAAATTGTTACATACAAAGTGTATACTGCGTGTCGTTTAAGCTCCTCCCATGCGGCCCAGTTCGGCTATCTAAGTAGTACTGGGCGATATATCATTTTAATTGAAATGAACTAAAGGAAGATGTAATTTGACAAAAACTTGCCGCTTCAACGAGGCTGGTGGCGCTTCCTCGCTTCTGTTGGTACTGGCTGTGGTACTCGGGTGGCACCTGCAGGTGGATGGGCGAGTATGTCCTCTGCGTGAACTCGGGGTCGTCAGAGTACCAGGAGCTCTTGCGCACCGATACGTGGCTGCTGGCGGTGCTATCCCTGTGTGTGTGGTCTACACGGATGAGGGGGGTGTAGTACGGTGACTGGTCTTTACTGGCTGGGGTGGCAGGGGGCGTGGCCCAGGAGCGAGTGGAGCGCGTTGGGGAGAGGCGGTGGGCTCTGCTGGAGTCCAGGCCTGCTACGGCCATGACCTGCGGGCGAGGAGATTGCCGGTCAATTGCTAAAGCGCCGTCGGCCACAGAACACACTCGCATAGTGTAGGGCCGGCAGACACACATACCGAATGAAAAATCATTGATGCAATAATCTATGATTCTCAGTCTAGAACATTACCTCCAGCTATTTGTTGATCGACTAAACTATTCTTTTTCTAAAACGCCCGAAGATACCACAGATCTCTTCTTCCTATACACATAAATTTTCCAGCTTCATGACTACTCTGTATTAAATATAAAGTGCAAAATGCATGTTAGAAAGAAGGATAAACTGCACTGACTGCTGAATCAGATTTCACACAGGCGTAGCCCTCACTTGACTGTTTGCACTAAAAGGTGACTTTTTTTTCTAGTTACCTGGTGCTGCATAAGGTGCAGTGGTAGGGCAGTACGTTGATGCGGAAGCTCATCCTGGCTACCCTGCCTGCGCAGACACTCAAAGTTGAAAGAGGGCCTCCTGTGACCTGTGCAACACCCATGGACCAGTAAGTGAGTGCATGCAAGCGGTTTAAACATTGCACATACTCAGTTAGAAACCAGGGCTTGTGAAATATTTTTCAGTAAAATGAAATAGGTAGCAAATATGATGTAATTTACATGTTAGGATGGTTTAGCGACATTCAAGGCAAGAGGCATAATTATTACCAGACATGATGCTCCTTCACAATCAAACGGGTGTTCACAATGTAAGATTGCTATGCATTTCTCAATATGTATAGGGTTTGTGATTTTGCAGAATGCAGTGGGGCCTTGAAACACAAGTCGAATTGGTTCATTGAAATAAATAGAAATGCTATTAATCCGTTTCAGCGACCCCCTAAAAAGGGAACCAGTGAATTATAAAAATGTCTTAGTGAGACTTTTCCAGCATCATTATAAAGTATATGAAGACAACTTATGAAGCAGGTCAATACCATGCAAGCCTTCAGGCGTGGCAGGGAGCAAACGTCTTTTTGGGGACCTCCTTGAGTCACAGTAGAGGGGCTGTTCATCATCGTCATAGTAACTGTCAGGATGATGGTACCCTTTGGGAGTCTCATACTCTGTATCGCTGTTCTGGTACCTTGCAACAAATCATATGTACAAAAAATATCATGTTTGATACATTTCTACAAAAGGGACAGAACATGAAATGCAACGGAGCTAAGAAGCACAAATATCATGAATGTGCTGTAAGACATTAGAATGTACGTACTCAATAAACCTTCCAAAGATTTTGAAACTGCTCTCGGAGTAGCACAATTCGACACAAGTTGCACAAAAAAACCAATTCTAACACACATGTTGTTTAATTAACACATCCATATTACTGAGCAGTATTTTCTTTCTAAAGAGAGAATGTTGTAAGATAGCTCTTGTACTAGGTCTCATTCGACTGCATGGATCTAATGTTCAGACCGGTGAACATATTGTTGGCCTACCTGTCCCCGGAGAGCATGCTGTCATCTTCATAAAACTCCTCTCCGCTGAAATACTCGCCAGACAAATGATCTTCATCCAGCTCCTCCTCTCTGCGGATGGTAGGATGCCGTCCATCCCCACCGTGGGACCTGACGGGAATTCCGGGTGCATGGCTTAGAGTCGGCAGGTGTACTAGACTTGTGTCATGCACCGCCATGCAGATGCAAGCCTACAGGTGGTCGCAATGTTTCTAAAACATCATTTAAGCGTGAAAGCGAGCCAGCCAAAAGCCAATCCGAAAGGCGAAAAGCAGCCATTTGCTTGTTACTGCCTGTGCCAAACCTGGAAAAACAACATACCTAACATAGGTCTCATAGTAGCGCCTTCTGTCCAAGACGGCAGAGGGGTGGTCGAGAGAAAGCATTCGAGTTAGGAAGGAGAAAGGGAGAGAACACAGAGAGAAAAAGCAGGAGAAGAGTGATATATACTGTATATCATACAGCTGTTTACTGTATATCATACAGTATATGGAACATATACAGCACTAATATATATGTATGAGGAAGAAAGAGCATGGTGGTGGACATGTACTCCAGTGTGTTTGACAATCCCATTTTTTTTATTCCCAAAATGAGAAAGTGTTTTGGGGAAAAAAAATGGAAATGAAATGAAATTGTCCCACACACTTAATAGGTGCCACTGGGGGAACAAAACAGAGCCCATATTGGTGCCGCACTGGTGGTAATGTGAAATGACGTGTCAGTGCCACAGCATGTTTGTGATCAACTGGGGAATGAATAAAGGTTTGTGAAAAAGGGGGAAGGCTTAATAAGAAGCTGGATTCTGCCCGGATGCCTGAAGACAAATACAGTCATCCGGATTTGTTTTTTTTTTTTTTTTTGCAGCAGCAGAATTCACTTCATCTCGGTTACAACGGTGGAGCTGAATGAAGGTAAGCTTTTTCTTTACTTTAATAAAC